TTATTCTTGAGACCATTTATTTTTAATGTAATTATTGGTATGGTCAGGTGTAAGTCTATAACCTTTCTATGTATTTTCAATTTGCTCCATCTATTCTTTGTTTTTTTCCTTTTTTTTGTTGTCTTTTTTATTGTTAGTATTTTTTATGGTTCAATTTTACCTCCTTTATTGGCTATAACTTTTTGTTGTGCTGTGTTAGAGGTTGCTTCAGAGCAGATAGTACTGTCAGCCCTGCATGTCCACGGGTTCTACATTCGTGGATTTGACCAACTGCGGGGCAAAAAATATATGAAAAAACAATTGCGTCTGTACTGAACATGTGTAGACTTTTTTCTTGTCATTATTTCCTAAACAATACAGTATAACAACTACTTAAATAGAATTTACGTTGTATTAGGTAGTATAATTTACATTGTATTAGGTAGTATAAGTAACCTAGAGATGATTTGAAGTATACGAGAGGACCTGCACAGGTTATGTGCAAATACTACGCCATTTTATATCAGGGACTTGAGCATCTGCAGATTTTGGCATCTGAGAGGCGTCCTGGAACCAGTTCCCCTGCATACCGAGGGGTGACTGTGTACATAGTTACCTGGCATATCGTCAGTGCTCAATAAATATTTACCGAATGCTCAAATAAATATCTCCCTGGTGGCTTGGCCACAGGGCTACCGATAGCCAGAGGCACCAAGAGTGGCCGTCCGTCTTGGTCGGCCAGATGATTAATCTTTTCCAGCTTTTAATTATTTCTCTGCTCCGCCATGTTATTTACGGATATTGGCTTTAGTCTTCTGGTCTTGATTTTAGTCTCTTGAGGGTAGGGGTCTATATCCTCTTCTCCCCCCGTCCCTGAATGTTTTAGTAAACAGGGACTTTATCCACAGGTGGAACTTTCCACAGGCTTTTTTGACGGTGTGTGTGGGTTGGATCCTCTGGATGGAAGAGGGTGTGGTCTTGACTTACCGTGGCCAAACCCCCAAAAGTAAGAAATTCTTATCAGGAAGGACAGACATTTTTTAAGGTAGTAGATAGAAAAAAAGCTTCAAAGAAATGGTCTAAATTCAACTTTAGCTGATCTAGGCAAAGCTCTGCACAGGAAGGAAATTCAGGCCTAACAGATCTTTACCATTCTTGGAATACCACCAGCTTTTTTTTTTTTTTTTAAGGCTCTTAAATGTTAATAATAAAAAAAATTGAGCTTCCTGATTAAAAAAGAAAAATTTATGCTCTCTTTTTCTTTTTTCTTTTCCAGCAAGTGACTGGCAGAAGTTTTGGTGATAAAGATTTTCGGACAGGGTTAGAAAATGGAATTCTTCTCTGCGAGTAAGTATAACCTACACCCAGTTGGTTTTATTCAAGAAACATCATTAGTACTGTTGAGTTTGTCTGTAAAGCTTCTGCTGTCTTACTTTGAATTTATTTACAGTTCGAATCTGGTACTGAAAAAATCACTGGGCTTGGCAGAAAACACAAGGCAGCGAAGGAGTCTTGGTGTGTAGTAGGGAGTGGTAGAGGCTGCGGCAATTGCAAACTAGGTCAAGAAGGATAATCTGGTAGCTGCCACTCAGCTCAGATCAACTTTTGCTATGTAGGAATTTGGGCCTACGTAATCGTAAGGATGTGGACCTAATTCTAGTAAAAGTAGCAGCTTTTCTCCTCTTTTTAATGTCAAACAAAAGCAGCTTGTGCCAAGGGAAAACAGCACGTCTGTATTGTCACAGCATCTCAGAAGGATGCCAGGTAATGTCTCTTACTGGGCCAACTTCACCGAGGTATTTTGAACATGTTTCATTTGTGCCGTTGGCAAAATTCAAATGTGAACAGTAACTGCAATGTTTAACTTTTATGTTTGGAAGACTTAAGAGCTCTTGTGGTTCTAGATACAAAATAAGCTAGGGGCTTAGTACTTACAAATGGACGGCCATAAACTTCAAGGTTTCAAAACCTGAATTTACTTAACACGTTCTGTAATTTGTGCACCTATTTTTGTTTTATCGAGGTGAAGTGTGCGGACAATGAAATGCACGGCTCCTACGTGTACAATCTGCTGGGTTTTGAAAAGTGTGTATGTGCAGGTGACCTATAGCCTGACCAAGCTATAAAACAAAAATCCCATCGCACCTCCTCCCACTGAATCTCAACCCCCTGCAGACAGACGCTGTTCCGATTTCTGTCGCTAGAGCATCTATTCCGCCTTCGCTTGAGCTGTCTGCAAATGGAATCACGTACAACATGACTCTCATTTTAGCAACTTTCAGAATATTATTTGGGACACACTCGTGGGTTTTGGAGCCCGAGGACTAGAGATTCAGGTCCTTACCCCTTCAATTGTTTAATCTCCTGAGTCTCATGTTTTTTTCTAAGACAGTAATGAAAAATGTATAACTCTGTCTATTTCGGAGGCTTTTTGTGAACCTCAGAAGGATGATGTTCAGAGCTGTGCAAATGTTGACTGTTTCACAGAACCTCTCAAAATAGCTCATGCCAGCTTTTTTCCCTGCCTCCCCACTGCTCTCTTTCTTCGAAGAAAAATCTGTATCTTTTGTTGCTGTTTCCGTACTCTTCTTCCTAGGGGGTCTCTCCCCTCTACTCTACTCTCTCCCTTATCGCCTCTTTTCCCTTTGACACAGCGACGGCGGAGCTCATCTCCTAGGGAAGCCATAACTAGTTCAGCACCTCCACGGAGACAAGCCCAGGTGGGCTCCAAATGCTCTTCTCCTGTTCTAGCACTTGCTTTTCCAGTGACCCCGGGCTTAGCCCTTTCCCGATGTTAATACACTCACCGGAATCTGATCTAATTCATGTGGACCATGTTGGCTCCATTGAAGTGAGTCTTTGCTACCAATTTTTGTTTACCTGACATTTGCTCCAGAGATTCCTGGAGGGATCTACGTCTCCACTCTGCTCCCAGGAATGCATCTGTCAGAGGGCGATGCCACCTACCTGGCTTTGGATTCAGAGTGGGCTTGCTGGAAGACGAGGCCCCGCTTCTGGAGGTATTTGCTCACATGGAATTTGTTTCTTGCCTAGATGCTGAGTTAGAGGATGGGGTCCCCCACGTATGCAGGGCCACCATCCACGATCGGTCTTCTGCAGACACATTAGTGAATGTCAGGGTTGCTGGGATGGAGAAGTGGGTTTTAGGTCCAGGCTGTGGGTAGGAAATAGCATGGTGAGAACAGCATGGAGGTATAGATTATATCCAGGGGCTTCTTAAAATAAGCAAAGGGCTTGGACTGCTGACAGCCTGGGGAGAAGCTGGGGAAACTGGCCCAATCGGGCAACGTGGGCCAATGTTGCTGCCTGGGCAGGTAGGATAAAACCAGAGACAAGCCCATCATTGCCCAAGTCTCTAACCATGGAGGATTAGACTCTGGCGTATTTGAAGGAGTGTGAGCTCTGGAGTCTGAGAACAGGGATCAACTTGTCACTTCCCCAGTGGGACTCCGGCTGGCAGCCCTGACAAAGCGTGTGCTAAGCAGGAATGAGGCCTGTGGGTAGCCGGAGGCAAGGAAAGCCAGTAGCACGAGCTCCAGCCGGCGCCTCCAAGAGAAAGCCGGGTCGGCAGCCAGAGGAACCAGCCATGCGGACGTTTCTAAGTGCAGAGCTCACAGAGCGATGCGAACCAAAACCATGACCCAGGGGCTGAACGCAGTGGAGGTGGGGGACGGTGGAGGAGGAGGGTCTCCTTTCTCACCTTTATGGCTGGGTTTGTCTGCGTTGAGAATATTGGGCAGCCGCAGACTGAGATTAGCAGGTACATTTTTTGGGACTTGTGTCTCAAGGCCAACCTAGCAAGAAGGGGTGTGGGATTTTGTCACGGCCGGGGCTGAAAGCCGGGAAGCTCAGCTGGGAAGGTCTTAGGAAAGCGAGGGTTCCCAGACTGTGGATCCACACAGTTGCAGACACCTGTCTTTGGAGAGCAGGTGAGAATGTCTAGGGCTGTGCCACTCTCTAAAACAAGAGAGAGTTTTGTGGATGCTGGTGATAAAGGAATTCCAGCTCGTAGCTACCCTGCACGATAGCAACATTTAAAAATATAAGGACTCGCTATAATTTCAGATTTTGAAAACTAAGCAGTTCAGTTCTTAGAATTGGGCTTTTGTAATATATAGTTCTCTTTTAAAAAATTATTTGGAGCTTTCCAGCTTTGTGTTATTCAAAATAGAAGTCCAGTTGGTGTCTTGGAACACTGGTTATAACCCCAGTTGGCTAATACCTAAATGGCATTGTTGAATTCTTTCTTTTGTTCAACAAACTCTCACCTTTTTGTCTGAGTTGAATCTTCTGTAAACATTAGCTGCAATTGTGTAGAAACATATGCTCTTTGTTCACTAAAAATTTCCTGGGTTGTTTGTGAGTCTGAAAAAAAACTAATAGTTCTCATCAAACAGAAGGGTACCTTCTGGGGCTGGGGTCTGGTTTTCCTTTTATCAACCTGGTTCTAAACTTACCTGTGGCCTATAAGGTACTATTATTATACTTCCCATTTTACAGAGGAAGTAACCAAGGCACAAAGGATTAAATCACTTGGCTAAAGTCACAAAGATAAAAGAGATTTAAATTCGGGAGGTCTGATTCCTTAGGTTTTGCTCTTCACTGTGGTCCTATTCCAGAATTGGGATTTTAGTGGAAGAGAAAAACATGAGGTTTTCTCACAGCAGGTGAGGAGGGGAGAGGAGGTTGGTGCCTGAAAACCTAAGGGTGGGGAGAGGCGCAGGGCAGAGGGTGAACCAGTGGGTCTCAGCGGGGCAGAGGACAAAGAAGGACTGCATGGGGTCCGTGCTCTTGGAAAAATGTGAGCCTGGTGGTCCCTCTTGGGGTAAGAAGGCAGGTTCCATAGCAGTGAGAGCATGGAGGAGCTGAAAGGAGAGGAGGCCGCGGTCAGCAGGGCATGGTGGGGTTTTCGTTTTGCAGCCACCAAGACCCGACGGAGACAAACGAGAGTGGTGGCATGCACCGTGGACACTGAGCTCCCCCAAAATCACCCTGGGAGATCTCCGGCTTTGCGTGCAACCCCTACGCACAAACGCATAACTCGCAGTAACAGCAAGTGTGAAATAGAATGCATGTGCCCAGAAGAATTACAGTAGACGTGTTTCTGCCATAACCATCTCTTTCTTCCTCTGTCGTTTCTGCCAAGTGTGTGTGTAGTCGGGGTTTAGGTGCTTAAATGATGCGAGCTCTCTGCTGAGCGTTTGGGTCGGGGGCCAAAGTGTGAGAGGGCTGCAAACAAGCGACCAGAGTCATGGCGTTAGAAACATTAATCACACACTGCACCATGTCCTCGAGAATTTAAGGGTGAAAAAGGAAACCTGCAAAAAGCCGTTGCCTAAAGAAGCCGCTCCCAGGATGGGGTCACTCACTTGTGGTGCCGTCTGCTTCCCTGTCCCCCCCCAGACTGTTTCAGAAAAATTCCGGAAAGGAAAGGTTCTGATTCGTTTTCCTGGCTGTGATTTTATTATTTAGATGGGGAACCCTATGGAATTTCAGCGAGATCAGGGGTTGGCAAATTGTGGGCCTTGGCCTGTTTTTGTACTGGCCGCCTTGCTAAGAACGTTTTTTGTATTTTTAAAGGATCGTAAACAAAACTAAACTAAACAAGAGTCCATATGTGTGGCTCACAAAACCCAGCGTGTTTACTGTTGGGTCCTTTGCAGAGGAACTTTGCCAGCCCAAAAGGACGATGGAATTAATTTGGGACGTAAGCTGTTTACCCTTGTAAAGTTGAGTGATTGATTTCGGGCAGCGTAAGTGCTAGCTGGGTAAATCAAATAACTTTTTACAAAGGTTTTCTCGGGCGTTTCTTTACAAATTTTTCCCCCAACTTTATATTTTGAGCCATTTCAAACTTACAGAAAAGTTACAAGAATAATAGAATAAATATGAATACGCCCTGAACCTAAATGCACTAATTATTTTCATTTTGCCATATTTTCTTTATCTCTTTATGTAAATATGCCTCTTTTTTCCTGAACCGTTGGAAAGTAAGACGCAGACACCGTGAAACTCAACTCCTGAAAGCCGCAGCTTGTGGAGGGCGTTCTCCCCCTGACGCAGTCAGACATTCAGCAACGATACAGCAATGTCTGACGCACAGTCCAGAGTCAAACATTCTCAGCATCCCTAGGAACATCTTTGATGCTGATTTTTAAAACTCTAGAATCCAAAGATTACACGCTGCATTTGGTTACCTTGCCTCTTAGTCTCCGTAAACCTAGAACAATTGGTCCAGCTTTTCGTGTCTTTCATGACACTGGGACTTTTGAAAGCTTCCAACCAGGTATTTTGTGAAACGTCTCACATTTGGGTTTTTCTAATTA